ATATCATCTCCCCCCAGAAAGAATGGCTATCATAAAGAAATCACCCAACAACAAATGTTGGAGAGGCTGTGGGGAAAAGGAAACCCTTCTCCACTGCTGGTGGGAATGTAGACTGGTGCAACCGTTTTGGAAATCAGTGTGGAGACTTCTTAGAAAACTAGGACTGGAAATCCCATTTAGGCCAGCTATCCTCCTACTGGAAATTTTCCTGGAGGAACTGAAAATGTCATATCATAGTGATATATGTGTGCCTATATTTATAGCAGCACAGTTTGTGATAGCCAAATCATGGAAACAACCAAGATGCCCATCACCTGAGGAATGGTTGAAAATGATGTAGTATTTTTATACAATGGAATATTAGCTATAAAGAATGATAAACTTGAAGTATTTATATTGAAGTGGATGCCACTTGAAGATATACTCATAAGTGAAATAAACCAGACCCATATGTGTAAATATCAAGGTCTCCCTAATGTTAAGAACTCAAAAGAAGAAATAAAAATAGAAAGGCATAACACAACTAAAAGGAAAGTGAGAACTTGATTAGACAATGAAGAGAAGGCAAAGAGAAAAGGTAGGAGACATGACAGGGTCAAAGCTGTACATTCATACGCACAAGATGGTTAAGGCAATGATCCTGAGAAACATCAGTAGGTTTTCAAAACTAGCAGCTAATTGGTAGGCTTCTTACCCTCACTAACTATATATGCTGCTATCTGTGGACTAAGCAACTGCACTGAAGACAGCAATGTGTAACGGCAGGGCCATGCATGGAGTGCCTGTCATTCTGGTCTTCTAAATACGTACTGCTTTTCATGACATACCAATTATTGCCATACTGTCTCTCAAGTAAATGTTTGTTTAAAAAAAAAGGGTAATAAAAGAAAAATAAAGACAAGAAAAAAAAATGTCACAGGACTGTCCTGCTACAATGCTATATATGGTTAGATTTCTAAATTTCTGTGTAAAAATATGTAAATTGTTTCATTTTTTAATTTTTTTAATTTTTTAATTTTTTTTCTCCATATTCTGTAGGGACTTAAAATTTAACATATCAATACTTAGCAGAAAATACCTGTTCCACATTATGCCTAAGATGTTTGATATTCAGACAGATAGTGAGGCTAAACCCAGCTGCATATGTTGTAGGGCAATAATAAGCTTCTCTTCTGGAGGGTTAACAATCTAGATTTGCAGAACAAAATTGGAGAAAAAGAAGGGCTGCAAGGTCAGCCAACATTTTGGCCCTAGCTTTTCAAGGTCAGTGAAAACTCAGGATATAGGAGAACCTATACTGTAACATCATGTAACTCAATTGTGTCCCAAATTTTCTGATCAAGGAGATTACGGAGCCACAGAGGAATGTGATAGATGATGTGTAGTATGCCTAAGAAGAGTCACATAGAGAGAAAACATTCTCTCAGGCTTTGTTTACAGAGAGCAAACTGGTCAAGCAATGGCCGTGACTCATCCACATGGCTGACACTGACAAAGGATCTACAAAGTGTGGTACAGGGTTTCAGGATAAATCATGAGGGGACTTGACTGACCTTATCAGATACAAAAGTTACATTTCTTGTTATATAGGTCTTGCTTTGTCTTGGTCTTAACCATCCAGCAGAAAGGTATAAAAACGAGGAATAAGAGGTGAGACCATGTTGGTATGCCGGGCTGTAAAGGGCCCAGGTCAACAGCTTCTGACACTGCCAGTCCTGCAGATGACCCACTACTATTATGGTCTACTGGACTATATTAGAATATTTTGCTGAATTCATGCACCTACAATATTTAAATGACAATGGAATACACCTTCTCTGACGCAACTCAACCAAAAAAGGGGATACAAATGATCATTTTGTATCTGTATATTCAAAATAGGATATATAGCTACATTCTCTTAATTCAACGAATAAGGAGATTTGTTCTAAGAGTGTTTGTGGACGGGATGTCATGTCTGCATCTTGCACAATGAATAACCGCTGAGACAACAATGTGCAATGTATTTATTATTGAAACTGTCCTACCAATCAACTTTGAAACTGTCTCATTGCTATTTGTTTCTCAACAAAATTATTTTAAAAATAATAATAATACATTGAAAAAAATGAATATTAAGATATATGGAAGATTCCTTCCCAGTCCTCAGTTAATCAAATAAAGTAATTTTTGTCTTTGAGGCAGAACCAGAGATGAATGAATCTTTGAACTAAAATTATATTGAACAGATAGTCTTCTGAAGAACAGAAATATATACACCCTTTGCTAACACTTATCAGAAGGGAACATTTTTGCTTCCTACTATTGATCACAGAGGCACAGGCTATGCCATGACAGTTAAACTGAAATCCGAAGTTGGTCATTCAGCTGGAGAAGGTGATTTAACTGTTTCACCACAAATAAGAATATTTACCAAGTAGTAGAACAAGTTAATATTAGAGTTATTTACCATGATCATGCGAATTTTGCCATAGATATCACACTTGGTTTCGGATGATCAATAGTTACCATTTAGGCTATCTTGATATTCTGCTTGTTTTACAGCTTTGGGAAGGGGTAGTTGTGGATCTCTTGTCAAATTTACACTTAAATTTTTGACATTTTTATTTCTATTAAAGTAATTTCATTTATATCACTCTATATATTCACATTATTTTTATACAATCCTGATAAACTAGTTCCAGTTGGGGGAAAAAAGGAGAATCCAATTTGCCACACGGCAAGCAAAGGTGCCAGACGGGAGCTCTGGGGTCAAGCACGCGGACACGTGGAGCTCCACACAGATCTCTCCTGTCAGGTCTCCAAGCGGAGGCAGGGAGAGGCTCTGATCCCCATTCCACAGGGGAGGCAACGGAGGTTCAGAGATGCTCAAAGAACTTAGATTAAGGAGGAGCAAAGATGGGGAACCTCTGGAGCTGTCACAAGGACCAGAGAATAAAGGGCCTCTGTCCCCAAGGCTGTCTCAGGGCCTCCACTCCTGTGACTGAATTGATACAAGTCTCCAAAGTGAGCCTCACATTATGGCCACCAGTGAGACTCCCGGATGCCAGTGCAGCCAAGAGATGGAGAGGAGAGGAGAGCTCGGCTCCCAGGGCCTCAGCCCAGGACAGGCAGCTCACGGCCCTGGTCACAGATGTCCAAGGGCCATGGGCCAGGTGAAGAGCTACTCTCTGTAATGTCCAGGGAAGGAGAGGGTCCTCGTTGGTTTTGTCTCTGGTTTCTCTCACCTGTGGTCCTGGGAAAGGAGCCTCGGTTGTGTGCATGCCTTCCGCAGAGCTAGGTCCCCGCCCCGAGCCCTTCCCACCTGCCCCTTCCTGCTGCCTCACTCGTGACCCACCTTGTCCGGGGAATCCATCCCTGCCGAGTATGAACAGCTTGTATCCGCACTGCCTCTCCAGCACCTCGGGCAGGAGCTTCAGCACCAGCCTGTCCATGCGGTGGCAGGGGCTGCCCTCCTCAGGCCTGGGGTACAGGACGTAGGCGTCATACAGCTTCCCATCTAGAGAGGAAACAGGACAAGCTCGTGCCCGGATCCCACCAGGTACCCTCCTGCATGTGTGGGTGCAGTGGCTTCCTGAGCCAGGCTGCTGCTGGCCCTGCCACGCTTCCACACCTTAGTCCCACCATGAGGCTGGAGGGACACACTCTCCCCCTGCACCAGGAGCCTGAGACAGGATTATGTGGTTCCTTATCCACCCCAAGGCTACTGATTTTTAAGCATACAGCTTCTTGTGATGAGGCTGAAAATGAGAATTTGGGGGATCAACCACCATTGCCCTCAGTGGGGCCCAGACAGGAGGGGCCCGCTACCCTGGGGCCACATCCCCAATCACCCCCCAGGGGATTCAACCACTGCAGCAGGGAGAGGCAGTCCTTGAGCGGGTTCTCTGCACCCTTGGGCAGCACCAAGCAGCCCAGTGAATCAACGCTTTTGGTCTAGAGGTCAGGCAGCCACCAGAACAGCACTGCGCATGCCCAGGCCAGGGCGAGCAAGCCACAGGTCTAAGGAGGAAGGCCGCTCCTGCCCAGAGGTACAAAGACACAGAAGGAACAGCGAGAGGCAGCTCAGGAAACAGAGACACAAGGAAACTGCCCTGTCTGAGGCTCTTGAGGGTACTCACAGGGGAAAGTAGCAGGGAAGGTCTGAATAAAGTGAGTGTCGGAGAGTAGGGAAGAGAGTGGCAGGCACGAAGGGGGTGGCTTGAGACACCTGCAGGAGGGTGACATCCGTGCCCTGCACGGCGTCGTGGGCACGCACGAGGGAGCCCCACACGCTGGCCTGCTGGGTGCAGCGCTGCTGGCCTGAGTCATCTCGTTGGGAAACACAGCACTGAGCTTCAGGCCATTTGGAAAAGCAAAGCCACCCGCAGAGCGCCCCAGGCCGAGGCCCTCGCTTGCCCCTCCATGGGAGCTTATCCTGCAGAGAGCTGGGCAGAGGGCAGTTCCGAGAACAGCAAGCAGGACACCTTTCCCTGTTGCCTTTCACATTCCATCAGTTCTCACACCAACCACACCCCAAGCATGAAAATACTCTCACACACACATGCCTGCAGCACTGTGGACATGTGTACACACGCACATTTGCAATGCTTGCCTGCACCTGTAGCCACAACACACGCAGTTTCACACATCTCCACACACGTAAAACCTTGCACACATGCACAGAGGCATGCACACACCTGGGCATCTGCAGCTATGCAAACACACAGACACACACATGCAGTTAGTGTGTAATTGTGCGAGCACATGCACTTATACATCTGCACATGTGTAACGGTGCATGCACGTGCACACATGCATGCACTCCCAGACACACGCCTCCTCTGATTCCCCGCCCATGCTGGGGAAGGGTGCTATGAGAGAGCTGGGACGCCTGCTCCCCGCCCTGCGTGCAGCACCAGGGTGGGCCCTGCTCCTCAGAGCTCTCAGGACTCCATAACGAGGTCGGACTGCAGCTTGAGTTTGCTAAGGTGGGGATGGAAAGTTCTGGGCCCCAGGCACAGCCAGCTTTCTAATGAACCGGACTGCAGGGAGGTAGCAGAGGGATGGCCGGCGCGTGGCTAAGCCGTACACAGCCGCATGTCCGCTCCAGTAGCGAGATGGGACCACAAGGCCAAGAGGTGGACACTTTTCTGTATGAAATTGGATATTACACATTGGACACTTCAGAGCTGGAGAAGTTTTATGAAGAAAAAGAAAAACATGAAGAAAAATGAGAAGGAAAAAAGAGAGAGAGAAGGATTTCATGTTGCAGCCAGTACTCAGGCTTACGGTCCCTGCCCCAGGCATTGCCACGGGCACCTTGTCCCCTCCCCCTCCATCCCGCTGGCTGGCTCTCGTGCATCTCCTTAGTGCCACTCCATGCCCATGGGTTCTCAGCGAGGAATGGGAACAGATGTTCTCCTCGCTGTCCAAATGGGAAGAAAGGGGTAGGAAAAATTCTCACACCTTTAAAAACTTAAAGTACATAAAGGCCCTACTTTTCTGGTTTGCTTTTTTCTCTCTAAGGTTTGCTTCTTCCTCTCCAGGACTGGGACCAAGCTGGAGCCCCTCCCAGCACAAGCAAGCGCCCTGCCACTGGGTGCGTGCCCGGCCCTGACTCAGCTCAGAATCAAGACACACCTTGCTGACTTGCTTTCTTGTCACCTTCAGGTGGCCAGTTTTACCCTAGTGACGAGCTTTCACACATCCTGCTGCAGCCCCGGCTTTCTACTTCAGGCCTGTTTTGAAGGCCCCATGCATCCTGTGGCCCCGGCATCCCTGGTTTTGCTCCTCACATTTGACCACGAGGGACAAATCCTTGGATTCTAAGCAGGAAGCTGAGACCATCAAGGCTCTGTGACTTCCCTGAGGTGCGCAGCTCTGATGGAAGCTTACGCCTGCTGTCCTGGAGTGGACAAAGCAGGGAATGCACAGTGCCTGCCTCCACCTGCCCCTGTGCCCAGCGATCTCAAGCCACACTTCTGGTCCCACGGCTTCTTTCAGAATTTTGTCCACAAAATGGAACTCACTTCCACTGCTTTAAAACTAGTCAGCCCCAAAGCAAATGTGAAAATAAAACTGAGTCAGCCTCCGCAGCTGCCTTGACAAGTGGGGTGTGCCGGATCTGACACTCGTACTTCAGGTTACACAGGAAAACACACCTTCTATAGGCCTCTTGTTCCTGCCACACCCATCTCGGGGACCATCCACTATGTGGCAGGAGGAGGCTGTTGGGAGAGGCCTCTGGAGAGGGGCTGAGGTTGTCATGCAAAGACTGCCAAGGACAACTTCTGGTCATCAGCTGAGGTCGCAGACACCCAGAGCTGAAATGGACCCACTGAGCCTGTCCTCGTTCCTGACCACAGAACTAACAAGCCACATGAGTGGCCATTTCATGCCACTGGCTCCAAAGTAATCTGCTTCCCACCTGCAGGTTCCAGAACAACAGCTGAGGCGACAGTCACAAAAACAGCAAATGCTGGACGCCTCCCAACTGTTGAGTTAATCAAGAAAATCCCAGAAATGTAGATCTGCTAGTGAGCATCCTGAGGAAGGTGGATGTCACTCACACACACACACACACACACACACACGGCCTGCCTCTCTCTAACGGCAGCTGACCGTTTCTCCACATATCCACCAGGTCCTTTCATTCTGAGGAGATTCCACTGTACTATGGATGCCAAAACATCTGGAGGCCTGGGTGGGGAAGCCACCTTCTCTCTAGAGCATTTGAAAGGTGTCTGTGAATTGGTCATGCATAAGGCATCTCGCGATTGGCTTGGCTTTGAAAGCGAATTCAACTTTCAAAATGAAAGCATGTCATTCACTACCCCTGACTCCTTTGACCGTTCTCCATTGACAGCCAGCCTTGACTGGCTGCTGGTCAAATGTACAAGAGTTCATTTGAGGGGCTGGGAAGATAGCTCAGTGGTCTGAGTGCCTGCCTGGCAAGCACAAGGACCTGGCTTTGATCTCCAGTACCACATGCTGTGTGGCGTAGAAACTGGGCAAGGTGGGGCACACCTGTAATCCCAGCGCTGGGGAGGCTGAGATAGGAGGCTCACCATGAGTTTAAGTGGTGTAGTGAAATCCTGTACCAAATAAATAAATATTTTTTTAAAAAAAGAGTTCATCTAAGAAATTAATGCATGTGAAAGATTGCCTCAAGATTATTCTACTTTCTCTCAAAATGATATTAGTGCATCCTCTCAGAGCAGTGAAAAAGTTAAACAGATTAATTTGGTCTTTCCATAAGTGTCTTTCTTGGATTTGGTGTTTTGCTGAAATATATATGGAAGGTTCTAAAAAGAAAGCCACCTAAAGCGTGCAATAATATGGTTTCCGTGGCATGCTGTGGACAAGGCTCCTCCCATCACGCCCTTTTACAGGCGGATTCCACAGCTGCTCTCCTGTGGAAGGGAGGCCTGGGTGGGGAAGCTGCCTTCTCTAGAGCATTTGAAAGGGCTCTGTGAATCGGCCATACATAGGGCATCTCACGATGGCTTGCCTTGGCTTGGAAAGTAAATGCACACTTTCAGAGGAAGGCCCGTCCTTCACTCTGCCCCTGCCTCCTCTGACCGCCCTCAGCTTCATCCCTTTTGTTTGCTATGCCTGGCTCCTCTTCCTTTTAGTTGAGCTGTTCTGAGAGCGCTGATCCACTCAGGAGACAGGAGCGACCAGGGCCGCTCCTTGCAGCAGACCTGTGAGCAGATGCTTCCGTCCAGAGGCCCAGGTGCCCCAGGAACCCTGTGGGTACTGAGGCTTAACAGAGAATAAACAGAGCGCCAGCTTCTGCCACAGTGGCATGTGACACTCACGCTAAAGCTTGGGGCTGCTATTCACAGTTTTACAAAGCTTGACCCATGTATTTGGAAATAAAGGACTGATCTCAGGAAAGGCGAATCTCCTTCCCTCCCTCCTTTCTTCTCTCTCTCTCTCTCCCTCTCTCTCTCCCCCTTTCCCCCCTATTTCCACCCTTTACTCTGTGTGCCCAGATCGTCCAGCTGTAGCTGTCACTGAGCAGAGCCTGGGCTGCCCTGGGCCCTGCTCCTCTGCCCCTCTGAGGACTCAGCGCCCTCTCTCCCCTTCCTGCTGCACTCAGCCCCACTGACAGCAGCCCGCCATGCTTGGCACAGTCCCTGTCACTGGCAGCTGAGGTCACACTCCTAGAAGTCACAGTGACTCACAGGGACACACACTGCAGGGACAGAAGGGCCAGCGCTCCAGGAAAGACCCACACGGGCCCTGTCAGCAACACAGAAAGCAGGCAAATCACTCAGATCCGGGACAAAAAATGTAAGTGGTGTCTGGGGCCCTCTTCTCACACAGTTGTACCCAGGGCCAGAGGACAGTCTGGAGGCTGGGACAGGGCAGTCACTGCAGGGACCACACCACAGAGCAGAGACTTGGCCCCCAGTAGGACCACTCTGGGTGATGCCAGACATGGGAGTCCAAGTTTCTGCGTTGCCCCTGTCATCTAGCAGAGTTCGTCACTTTCTATGTAGCTTAAAGGTCCCCGCTGGTTGTGGCTGTCATGTCTTAGTTTATCACTGCTGGGCACAGCATCCAGGGCCCCCCACACGCTACTCACGCTCTACCATGGAGCTGCACCCCAGCCTCTGGGTTGCCAGGTTTGAACTGGGACATTTAACTTAGAATAGAGTCTAAGCTAAGTACAGACAGGAACTTGGGAGCCATGATTTCTCCATGCCAAGCAGGCACTCAGATGCCCTCCCTGTGTCACCTACCTAGCCCACACTTGGACATCGCCGGCTCCTGCCCGGGCCAGCCCCACACCGGGAGGGCACTGATTTGCCCACCTCTAGCCACCCTTCTTTCTGCCATGTAGGAATGTTTCCACACAGTTAGGGGACAGTAAAGCAGACTACTTTTTCTTTCTAGGCCTTAACAGAGCACATCCACCCTCAGGCCTGAAGTGCGGAGACCCACAAACACGACAGTGAGACATGCCTGTCCCTCCCAGGTTCAGGTCGTATGGAGGCAGCTGTGCGCCAAACAGCACGGCAGGACACAAACGCCACAGACACAGACAGGGAGAGATGTGGGAGGGCCGCTTGCTGGACCGCAGGTAAGCAGGAACCACCTGTGCCCAGCACTCTGCTGGGTGCGCCCTTGGGCATCAGCACTGTCCCGGCAGGGGACATCTCTCCTGCCCTCCCTCTCCTTTCTCTCCTCGCCCCTCCTCCCTCCCTCCTTCCTTCCTTCCACTTATCTGTCCTCCCTCCATTTCTTTTTCTTTTCGTTTCCTTCCTCTTTCCTTCCCTACTCTCCCTTTCCTTTTTTCCTCCCCTCTATTCTTATCTCTTCTTTCTCTTTCTTTCCTTCCTTCCTTTCTTCCTCTTTTTTAAAGTTAGTTTAAATTTTTATTTTTTTCTTCTGTTTATGGTGTACACCTCGATATCCCCCCAGTGTCTCATGAGCTCATGAGTGGAGACTTAGGGACGTGGTACCTTTGGGTAGATTAGTCCACCGCTGAGTGTGTAGCTCAGCGTGACATCAGGAGGTGAAGCCCTGCTAGTGAGAGGCAGCGGCTCCCGGAAGGCGTGGCCTGGAGGGTCCTCCCCTCTGCCCCCCTTGGTCGCTCTCTGCTGCCTGCCTGCCATGCCATGGACTGTTCCCCTCTGCAATGCCTCCCTGCCTTGAGCCAGCTGACTGTGGGCTGAAATCTCTACAGTGATAAACCTCGCCTTTAATTTGTGGGTGCAGTGTATGGTGCCCCAGTGAAAAGAAAATGAAGGAGGCATTTTTCCCTTCCTTCCTTCCTCTTTCTCTTGCTTCTTTCCCTATTTCTTCCTTTCCTTCCTTTCTTTTTTCTTTCCTTGCTTTCTTCCCTGTTTCTTTCAGGTGAGAAAGAGAAAAAAATTAAAACATCTTTATAATTCACAGAGACAGTAAATTAAAATTTAAGGTCAAACTCAGGCCTATCCTCGTCCAGCCCTGAGAGCTGGAGGTGCGACTCTCTCCAGGCCCCCGAGCAGGCTCTGGACGGAGGTGCAGTTTGGCAGCCTGGCTCCAAAGCTTCCTGGGGCGAAGTCTCCCTCTCCAGCATGGATGAAGGGAGACGCCATGGCCCCACTCACAGCGAGGACGCAGCTGAGCTGCTCTTGCTGCTTCTTGAGTCCCTTTCTGGGCACTGGAAGCCTGCAGGACTCATGTGACCATGAAGCTGGTGGCCGTGGACAATTATTTCTCTGAGGCTTAGGCGGGTCCCCAGAGGCTCTGTCGTCTAACTTTGCCAACATCATGAAATCCACACTTGTTAATAAGACAGAAGTAAGCTTAGAACATTCCTGCAGATGGTGACGATCAGTTTCAAGATGTTTCCAAGGGCAGACACACACTCACCTTCTTTGGTCTCCTTGGAGTGGAAGGCACTTCGATACCACAGTACGATGTCCACCTTAAAGCTGCTGTAGATGACCAGAACCAAAGTGACCACGACCGTCAAAGCGACAAACACTCCTATCAGGTACGCCTGGACATCTGGAGCTACATGTGACAGCAAAAGAGCAGAGCGACACAATCACATCCTCATGCCTACAGACCACAGGCACATGCCATGTGGAGAGGCATCCCCTACCAGCGAGGGCACTGCTGAAGCGCTGCTAGGTAACAAGTGCGGAATGGGATCAACCGCTCTGACCAGCCTGTGGGTTCTAGGGTACAAGGGAGCTCCAGGGAGGCTACCAGGGGAACTCCTCAGAACCCTGGCTGTAAGTGCAGATAGAGGGTGACTCCAAGTGTGGGACGCTGGCTCTGGCCTTCCCCGTGTGGGGCTCCCTGGCCAGGGTGACGCCCCCGGAGGCCAAGCCCTGGCACATCTATGGGGAGACCCCCAGTGGCCCCGCAGCACAGCATGGATGGCAGGCCTGCCACACCACTTTGCCAGGAGCTTCTGTCCTCGAGAAGGGGCCCCTCGCGCCTCCTCCCTGGAAGCCCCTCTGCAGGTGCTTCCCGGTGTGCCCCAAGGTGGGGGCACCCAGTCGCCAAGGCGCAGGCTCCCACAGCCCAGGTCTGGGCACCTGGGGGGTGAAAAGGGAACTGGGGGAAAGGGAACCGAGGATTCCCCAGGAAGGAAACTCGGGCATCAGGAAAGGGGAACTGGGAGGAAGAGGGATCCTCCGTGTTCCTAGAACTCAGCTCACAAGCCACTTCCTCCCTGGGCCTCCCTGGGCCTGCCCTCATTCCCAGTGTGTGGGGAGGAGTGGAAGAGGAGGGGAGTCCTGCTCTGCATCCCAGAGCACTTGCTTTTCACCAGTCTTTAGTGCACCTTGCTTGTGCACACTGATGGCTTGCATTGTGCGGGGGTGTCGCATGAGCACGCCACCTCAATCCTTTCCTTCCATCACTCCTAGGCCCCACCCCATCCCGGTTCCACTTTCAGGGGCGGGGGTTCCATGGCGCCATGTAGTTCTGCTATGTCCATGCCCCTGCTCCCAGCCCCACACCGCTGCCCCCTTCCCGTCTTCCGTGAACACTGCAGTAGTCTTCTCTCCACCTTCTTGTCATCCTTCCTGGATTCCACCATGAAGGAGAACATGCAGCGCTTGTCTTATGGGGTCTGGCTTGTCCCACTCAAAACAGCGGTCTCCAGAGCCGACCATTTCTTCAGATGCTGTCTTGGTTACTTTTCTCTCATCTCTGGGACAAAATTCCCAAACCCAAAATTAGAGAGGAAAGCGTTTGTTTGGTTCATGGTCTGTGGAGGTTTCAATCCATACAGGGCTGGCTCCAAGGCAGGGCTCGTGGAGGCAGACGATGGCTAAGCAGGAACAGCAAAAAGGGAGGCGCATGGAAGGAAACAAGCCTCTTTCCCTCCCTTCCGCTGTGCGGAGGCTGCCTGCCCTGGGGCGGGTGTGGCACCCACTCCCATAATCCCAGCACGGATCACAAATCAATTGCAAACTAGAAGCCCGCCCCACGACTACAGGAGGTTTTGGGGGAACAACTGCACACAACGCATAACACATTCCAAGACAAGGTTCTCCCCGCGGCTGAAGAGGGCAACCTATGTACGCCCCACACTTCCTTTCCAGAACCTACAGCCCCGCCCACGCCGCCGTGCCAACAATTACAGTCCAGGATCTCCCATCACTGGCACGCAGCATCACACCCACGGCGTGTCACAGAGGAGTGGCCAAACACATGACCCCACCACCACACCAACCCACAGGTTCAGTCCCAGGGCAGCCAGGTGAAAAAGCTCCACACTTCGCTGGCCAGGCAACCCTGAGTCCGCAGGGTCTCATCCACCCCAGGGGTCCTCCCGGGTCTTCCCTGCTCCCTCTCCTTGTTGCCCTCCGCCCCCTCCTCTTTGCACCCCTCCTGGAGCAACGGCACCACCACTCCCTCTGAGAGGTCCCGGCTTTGGGGAGGAAGAAGGTAACTCTGTAGATCTAGGTGTCGCAAAGGCCCTGAAAGGAGGCCACGAGCTTGTGTCCACTCCCGGAGCCCCAGGCAAGGGCAGAAATCCTTGAGCTCACTGTCCACTGCAGGCAGGAGTGCTAATACCCGCCTGGGCTCTGTACGTGAACTGAAAGGTGGTGCCGCAGAAGCAGGAGACCTGGGAGCACGTTCCAAAGCAGCAGGGGCTTTAAAGCACGTAAGTGGGAAACGCGCTGGTGGTGCAGCAGGTGCCCTGCTAGCAACAGTATTCGCGGCTGGAGCCCATGTGGCCACCTACGCGAGACGGTGCATGAGGACGCACTAACAACAAGAAGAAACTCACAAGAGGGGACAGCAGACCTGAGCAACGTCCTAGTGACCCTGCTTCAGACAAACGAAGGAACACGATTCCAGAGTGAAGGCACCCTCCCCCAAAAAAGAGGGAAGTCAAATGGAGAAGCTGTCACCTCCACTCAGCCCACCGCAAACCCACAGGAAGCCTGGATTGGAGAGGGCGAGGTTCCTAAGAACTCGGGCAAACAAAACCTGCTGCTTGTGGCCCTGGAGAGACAGCAGGAATAAAGGATGCCCACAGGGTTTCTGCCTTCTGCTGGGGTGGCAGCAGCGGGGAAGGCGCCCCACCCTCCCATCCGGTGCCTAACAGGGCATAGCGCAGTTCCCCTCAGCCAGGGCTGGGCTCAGAGCCCTTCTGCGCGCTACTGGCCACTGCAGTTGCGATCGATCAGCGATGGTCTGGGTTAAGTGAAGCATGAACGCTTCCAAGGCATAATCTGTGGCCTGCAGGCCTCCTGGAAGGTCCAGGCACCCAGAGCCAGGGTCCCCCCTCCTCCTGGGGTGGACCCCTGTGCCTCTCTCTGGCCTGACTTGGGCTGTTTCCGCCTGACGCTGCTGGGGAGCACAGACACCGAGGGGTCTGCACGGTCTGTTCTCCTCTCCCCTCACGGGCCACAAAGCCACCACCTCCATCACAGCGTGAGCCTGTGGAAGAGGGTGGCCAGTGGCCGCCTTTGCCCCTCTCTGACTCTGGCCAGGAGGTGACTGGGATAATAAGGTGGGGGGGGCATCCCTGAAGGCTAACCAGGAGTGCGGGTGTCCCAGGGGAAAGGAAGAGCAGAGACTTGTAAAGCTACAGCCTCCCTGGAGAAGAGACTGCAACACCCCTGGAAGGTACAGGCCAGACAAGGCTCAAAGGCAAGGAAATCCGCAGAAAGCTAAGCCAAACCCAAGTACCCACAGTGGTGGCCAGAACCAGGGCAGGACCGACAGCAAGAGAACCAAGGGCTTGGGAGGTTCAACACTCTGCTCAGCCTCGGACAAGGCTCTGTGCTCCCCGCAAGGGCTTCCTGCTGGTGCGGGGCACACAGGCAGATTTGGAGTGCACTGCACGGAGGACACCAGAAGTCATAGGGGAAGGAAGGTAGTGGTACAAGAATACAGAGCTGAGGTGACCTCAGGGGCCCCCAAGGACCCCCAGAAAGCAGAGTGCGCTCAAGGCGCGCCCCGCTGGGCTGCCCAAGATTCCCTTGAACCCGGCTTTGTGAGGTGGTGTAGGAAAACGTTCTTCCTCCAGCCTCCAGCCAGAAGTACGTAAATGAGGGGCAGCCGCCTCTAGGGGGCGCCAGCGAGCTGAGAGTTGCAACTCACAGGGCTCCACCAGGGAAGCTAACAGTCAAGAAGTCTGTCGCTTTTGACACCCTGCCCGCGAGTCAGGACTCCACAGCGCTCTCAGGGTTGTGCCTTCGCGTGCACCTCCTCGCTTCATTACCCCACGGGGTCATCGAGAGGCTCGGCGGTCTGTATGCTCACATGGCCCCTGTAGTCCTGCTCCTGCCTAGCAGCCCCTCCCTCCGCATCCCTCCTCTTCCTCTTCCTCCTCCTCTTCCTCCTGCTCTTCCTCCTCCTCTTCCTCCTCCCCCTCCCCCTCCTCCTCCCCCCCTCCTCCTCCTTCTTCTTTTCTTCTTCTTCCTTTTTTATTCTTTTTTGTATTTTAGGGAAGGGTCTCAAATTGGTGTTCAGGGTGTTCAGGGTCTCACTACAAGATCGGACTCATAGTAATCCACCTGTTTACAACCTCCCAAGAGCTGGGATTACTGGCACACAATCAATGTCTCAACACGCCTCCGGGGTGGGGCCGGTGTGGCAGGCCCAGGGATCAAACCCCTGGCCCCTGCACCTGCTTGCAGGCACTTTAATCCTCTGAGCTATTTGACTGGTCCTACAAATAATTTTTCAAAGGTACACAGCGAAAAAAAACAAGCCTGAGCACTTACATTGGGCATCAAACTATTCATAAAAATCTATACAGGTAAAAATTACATAATAATAATAATTATAATAATAATAATAATAAATAATTAGCTATAAATGCTGAGCACTCTGGTTTAGCAAAGTAAAACTTAGTTTTCTGGAATTCTGATGCACAGATATCGTAATGTAGATGAGTATGCTGTTTTCAATACCTCCCTCCAAGGAGATAACCAGCCCCTCCCGTGACAGCACCCCACCGCTCTGTGCTAATGCCGCCTGGGGCATCGCCTCACAGCAAGCACCTGAAGGTTACGGTTTGCATCTAGATGTCCCCCAACGCAAAGCCTCATGGGGTCACGGGGTTTTTTCAGAGATGGCTGACACTAGAGTGTGTGATTGTTTCAGAGTGCAAGCTGGGATTAAGGGCGGCTGATTGCTGGATCAGCCCACCTTGGGTAGGCACCGCCCTGATCTCTCTAGGACACACAAGCAGGGCCACAGGGACACGCATCTCACCGTGCTCTTGCTAGTTGCTTTTGCTCCTTTCTGCCTCAGCATATAGCTGCCCCTCTGTCAGCCATCCCGCCCTGCAGCCAGTAGATTAAGAGCTGAGCCCTCACAAGCTGGGAGCTAAGTAAGCCAGCCCTCCCGCAACTTTGGGCATCAGGTATTTGGTCCCAGGAACAAGAGAAAAGTAACTAAGACTCCTGATGACGCCTGATGACCAGCTCCTGGCCACCACTAAGAGTGCTCTGGCACTCTGAGCCCACTGGACATCACCTGGGAGCCTCAGCATGATGTAGGCAGCAGACACTCCGGCATGGCATATGAAAGGAAGGCCGTAGTCCTCCATCTTCACTTCTCGGAAGGTGATATTGACTGTGTAAAAAATATGGTCTTGAAAAGAAATGTTGGTTCTGTAAAAAGAAGAGTGGAGCATTAACACAAGTCCTATCCGCCCAGCGTCATTTGTATGCCTCATTCTGAACATGAAGTGTCTGTTTCTCTGGAGAATGCCTTGGAGGGCGATTCAACCCTGAGACGACGTCACTGAGAGGCCCCGTGTGGAGGGTACATGTGTAGTAGAAGTCGATCTTCACTCCCAGACAGTGACCAGAAAGTGTGGATCTGCGGACCACAGAGCCTGTGCCGGGCCTCCAGCCACCATTCCTCCACAAGCATCCTCCCTCACCACACCCCACAGCCCACAAGTTCCTCTGCTCTCTGCCTTCCTCTTTTACAGCACCAGAGTTGCACCCCATCAGTTGAGTTTGTACCCCACCCTGCTCCAAGAACCCCTGTGTTAGTGCTGGCTTTGGTGCTAAGGCCTTGAAGGTCATGTTCAGAATATGACAGAATGAGTGGGAAGAATGCTGTCACCCTGCAGCTCACTTCTGTTTTGTCACATGCACCTGTTTAGGCTGGGGCTACAGATGACATAAGTGTCCCACAGTTCTCTGAACCCGAAGCTGGGCCATGCTTGGCCACCAAGATCTCAGAACGGCAGAGCCCACAGTGACCAGGAGGTGGTCGGCACCCTGGCCATCTAGCTGTCTGTACATGAATGTGGGTGGAGAAGCCCAGCGAGTTTTGCGAAGCCAGGAGAGGCGGCACCTACTCGATTCCCTCCTGGACGCGTTTGGAGTCACTGTAGTAATTGTCCACCATGGTGTTGTTGACCGTCCAGCAGCGCAGGTTCGTGTTCTCCTTGGTGTCTGTTATGTTACAGTCCACAATGAGGGTGGAGCCTGTGGGGATCACATTCATAAATGTTAAGCTGCAGCTGAGCAGATTTTCAGTTGTTCAGATTGGCTAGCACCTCATGCACAAAGGCATCTTGCGTTTGAGCCCTGGACATCTTTGCTGGTGAGAAATGCTCTAGGGTCGGTGATAATCTGCTCTATCCTCTCTCTGCACGGACACTAGTGGGTGGGAGAACCAGGGAACCAACAGACTGGCATGGGCCGACCCCTGCCAACAGCGCTCATGAAGGTTTTCTACACTCACAGGGACACACTACTTCCACTCCTAGTGACATGAGCAAAGAATGCCACAGTTTACAAGTGTTACAGGTGTGTTGTCACCCTTAGTCTTACAGCTTTGGGATAATATGACAAGACAGAAAGAGAGGAAGTGTTATCACTGATCCTCCCATTATGATGGGAAAATTGAGCCTCAGGTGTTGAGTGACTTGACCGCAGCCAATGAGAACTGGAGGAAGAAATGAGATACAAACTCCCATTTTCTGGTTCCAAATCCAGTAATCTTCCTCTTACTATGCAGTTCTTCTGCATTCAAAGTCTTGACTATTATAAAATTCATAATCCCAGAAAGCTATTAGAAAACTGTGGAGTGAAACTTTCTTCATCTGATTAGAAGGATTTTTTTTTCGGGGGAGGGGGAGACTGGCTCAGGCTGCCTCAAGGGCCGGTCTGCTAGGGCAGGTTGAGCTGGGGAGCAAACCTCGGTATCCTGCACCTCACTGCGTTTGCATGAGCTAACCAGCAGGCCCCAAACAGGGTTTTGTTTTTCTTTCTTTTTTTTTTTTTTTTTTCTATTTTTAAATGTTCACCTTCCTTCTTTTTCTTTTTCAGTACTGGGGATCGAACTCAGGACCCTGTACTTGTGAGGCAGGCGCTTATGCCACTGAGCTATCTCCCCTCTTGATCTGATTAAAAATCTATTTTTAAAAAGCCACGGAAATGTCACACTCAATACTGAACTGTCCAACACTTTCCTCTGTGAACGTGCACGCGTGTGTGCATTGAAGGGCGTGCTGCACATTTATAGGTTCAAAATTAAACTTTCATCAATAGGAGGTATCTCCCTCTCATAATGCCTTTTGCCTTCAGCTGTATCTTGATAATTAATTATATATTATAATAATTATATATCATAATAATTATATATCAATATAATTAATTATACCATGAGTATTTTACTTTATGTTATATATCATTTTCTGTCCCTTTAGCTTTAAGCTTCTTATAAACAGCACATGAGGTTGTTATTTTTCAATCCAGCATGACTGATTTTATTTGGAGCATTTGACCCACTAGTGGTGACAAGTCTTGCTTTAAATTGCCCATTTTAGGTTATGTTCTATGCAATGCATTTATTCTATATTTGAGTTTTCTTTCTTAGCTTTTTCAGATTGTTGTTTCCATTCCCTCTGCCTCTATTTGTGACTACTTTTTAGTACGACATTTAATAATATATTGCCTAAAATATTCCTTTACTCTAACTCTAGACAACAAAGCATGCCCTTGGATGCACCAAGACCTGCTATCTTTGGCACTTTACCTCCACCTCTGACATTGCATAGTTCTCAGGATCCACTTCATTTACCTCACCCCAGCAGACAGCAAATGTAGTTGGGTATTTTCATTTCACAGTTATTTTATTTTATTTTATTTTTGAATTTAGGACAGGGATTACAGGGTGTACAGGGTCTCACTATGAAGATCGGACTTGCAGCGGTTCTCCTGTTTTCAGCCTCCCAAGCGCTGGGATTAGAGGTGCACGCCACCACACCCAGTCTCAACTGAGGGCTCGCCCCGGGGGGGCGGGGCTGGCACTCTCAGTTATGCTAAATTTCCTGAGCAAATATCATCGCCTTCACCTTCTGCATTCAATTTAACACGCAGGAGAATTTTCCCTGCTGCCTGCAGAACACTCCTTTTTTTTTTTTTTTTTTTTTTTTTTTTTAATTGTAGGACTAGATTGACAACACATGACATTTTTAGTCTGTGGTATTTTCAGTCCTTATAAAATAAGCAGGTTTGAGTGTTTTAAAGCACATGGCCCCCACTGATCCTGGTACAGAGCTAGCCAGCAACTAACCTTTTTTTTTTTTTTTTTTTTTTTTTTTTTTTACCATGGCTCGAAGTCAGGCCCTCGCGCGTGCCAGGGCTTCTGCTGCTGAGCTATCTCCATATACCCTTTTCTTCCTGTTCCTACTTTTTCCCTTGGTTTCCGCTGTGCGCAGTTTCTCTGTGGAGCACCCAGGGGTAGCTTTACTTTCCTGGACCCTGTTGGCACGCTTTGCCCCTGGAGTCTTCAGCACGGGGTCTCCTAGCTGTTTGGGTCATTCTCAGCCTCTGAGATGAAATGGCGCTGTTTCTGCCTCCACCTCCTCTCGCCTCTTCCACGGGAGACTGTGCTGTGTGTGTGTACATGTGTGTGTGCGTGTGTGTGTGCGTGTGCGTGTGGTTCTGCGCCTCTGCCCCCCTCACCCTCACATCCATACTCACATCTTCTGGCTCTGAGTGCTTAGTCCTGCATATTTTCTCCTGATCGATATTAATTCTCTTTTCAAATACATTTTCTATGCATTTAAAATCTATTGTATTGATTAGTGCTGGTATTTTATTTGTTCGTTTTCCAAATCCAGTATGCTGCTATTTCTAGTTTCTGTTCTCTTTTCAAAGTTTCAATCCTCCCTCTCTTTTCCTTAAACATGATGAAGATCATTTTGTTTTTTGGGATTTTAAATTTGTTTTTCATTTTATGAATTTGGTACAGGGTCTCACTACACAGCTCAGACTCGTAGTGATCCTCCTGTTTCAGCCTCCCCAGCGCTGGGATTACAGGCGTGCACCACCACACTGGGACTTGGAAGCTGGCTCAGCGCGCCCTGGGGGTGGGGCCGGGCAGCATGTAGGACCGGGTATCAAACCCTGGTCCCCGCGCTTGCCAAAGCAGGCGCTTAGTCCACTGAGCTCTCGCCGGCCCAAGACAATTTTGCTTTCAATCTGCATGTCTGCTGTTTCTCTCTGCAGCCCTGCGGATCTGTGTTGCTGCCCACAGCTTGCTGTTGAGCCTTCCTTGAGCTGGAAGGTGACAGGTTTCCAAAGTGCCCGGGTTCAAACTGGAAAGGAATCACAAAGAGGGCAGCGCCCGCGGAAACCGCAAGCAGGGCAGCCGACCGGGCCAAGGGGACCAGAAGGCCCGGGGTTCCTGCTGGGTGAGACGGGAACCCCAGGAGAGGTGGCCGTGCACGCACAGTACGCGTGGCTCACCCTGTGCGGGAAGGTAGGAACGCGCCTCCCGCTAACGGGAATGCACGCGTGGTCCTCACTAGGTCCACAGACTAATACAGTGCGATGCGTGTTCCTTTTACTGCACTGAATTTTTTATTTTATTGCTTTTCTTCTTGTATGAAATATTTGTTTGCCCCATTTAGATTGGCATTTTCTCAACTTGATTTTTTGCTCTATATAAGTCATCCCACCTACGTGCTGTCCCCCTACTCAGCACATTCCCCCTCGTTTGCCTTTACATGGTAACTCTATGCGGATATTCAAGGATTTGCGTTTTTAAAGACTAGTCTGATTTTTTGATCTCTTTTTTTCTACCAGGAATTAAACTCGGGACCTCAGGCTTGCGAGGCAGGCACCACGCCGCTGAGCTATCTCCCCAGACCTGGCCTTTCATTTGTGATTTCTTCCCACGGCTTTAATTGCCAGATTCTTAACTGTCTGCTTTTGTGTTTAGAAACTACAACATTCTGACGTTTAATACTTTTATTACCACATGGCTGAACTGAAAAGCTATTTAGTAAAAATTCTATTTCAATTTAGCAAAATACGTCAATACATGTTTTTGAAAACCCTAGTGATGTTATGCCAAGGTGACACTACCCACGTGTCACTGAAGTGGGACAGGCACAGCGGACGGCAGCACTCCACAGCGCCTGCCAGCAGGGGATCCTGCAGCCAAGTGTAAGCAGGCTGCACGCTGCCCAGGTGGCACTAACAGGGCCCTGCGAGGCATGTTCGTATAAGTTAGTATCACACGTGGAAAAATGATACTGACTTTAGAAGTTTATTTTGTACTAGGTTAGCCTTACTAAACAATTGCTGGTGATTACAATATTTTAGATATTCTTCTACAACTTCTAAATTCTCTTCTGGCCAAAAGACTTCTTTTTGATCCTGGAATGGTGGCACGTGCCTGCAAGTTCAGCACTTCAGGAGGCTGAAGCAGGAAAATCACAGGTTCGAGTCCCTCTCGTACTAGTTAGCAAGACTGTGTACCCAAGTAAGTAGTAGAACAGGCTGAGGGTGTTGCTCAGCATGAAAGCCCAGCCTGAAAGAAAAGGAAGCCGAGTTTTTAACAGTCTAAATACACTGGCTGGATTTCCCAATACAGGAGAGGAGGGAGGGGGAGCGAGGATGGGGAGCGAGGATGCGACAGGCAAGCGACTTCCTGAGCATTTCTGTAGTCTATCAAAGATGCCACACGGTGAGCACTACACGCCTCGAATCCACTCTTTTATTTATTTATTTATTTATTTATTTATTTATTTATTTATGTGTATGTGTGTGGCCAGCTCAGCCCACCAGGGGGCGGGGCTGGCTGGCATGTGGTGCTGGGGGATTGACCCACGGTCCCTGTGCTTTGCTAAGCTTGTTCTAAGCAGGTGCTTTAGACCACTGAGCCATCTCACCAGCCCCTCGAATCCACTCTTGAGGGCATTCTGTTCCTTGAAAGTTAAAGGGCTCATACATACACAGCTAAGGGGCCTGGCAAACGGCTTTCAGCTCCACACCATCAGCAGCTTTGTAAGTTTTCCCACTTCTAAGCCTTACACTTGAGTCTCTGCCTTTGGGAAATTGGAGTTGCTAGGTGCGGACCTATCTCCCCAACCCCCTTCCCCAGCTCTTCTACCCTAAGGCAGCCTGCCAGACTCCCATTTCTGCTGTGGTTTTTCTCTACACTGTTTCTACTTTTATCTTTATTATGTAATTACACTTCTGCGAGAGAGTTAAATGGTCGTTCATACATTTTAATTTTTTCTCCACTTATCTGTCATATTTAAAGACAGAAACTTGTCTGGAGTACAGCACTGGTCATATGCCGTGAAAGTGAACTTGAAGCATTGTCATTGTCATTAGCCTTCCCTTCGCTTTTTCTTTTCTTTCTTTCTTTCTTTCTTTCTTTCTTTCTTTCTTTCTTTCTTTCTGTTTGTTTGTTTTGTTTCGTTTTGCTTGAGACAAGGTCCTGCTACATAGCTCAGACTGGCCCTGAACCCACTAAGTAGCCCAGGCTGGCTTCACACTGGCAGAGATCCTCCTGCCTCGGCCTACCGAGTGCTGGGACCACAGCTCACCTGGCTTCTGTCATACCTAGACAGCCTCTACTAGGGCTCCAGTTTTATCTCAAACCAAGGAAAGTAAATGGTTAGAAGAAAAATTTGTGCTTGTTTAATATTTTCAATGTAAAAAAATTTAATCGACAGTAACTATTAGGTATGATGTGATATTTTAGTATAAGTTTATATTGTATTTATAACGAAATCAAGCAAAAAACCCCAGACTTCACATGCTGAATGAGATTCTTTTCACTGTTTTGACTTGAGTTCTAAATACCTACATTCACAACACTCTGGTTGTACTGTGTGGTTTGCACATGTGGTCCTTTTTTTTTTTTTTTCAGTTTTTTTGTTTGTTTGTTTTTAATGTATTTGCTATAGGGTCGCACTACACAGCTCGGACTCATAGTGATCCTCCTGTTTCCAGCCTCCCCAGAGCTGGGATTACAGGCCTGCGCCACCATACCCAGTCCTACAACTTCCTCTTTTAGTGCTGTAATTTTCACAGGTATTTATAAGTCATTTATTAAACATATTATTCTTACTAATCAAATATTTTAGATTCTTATTTACTTATTAAATCTGTCGATACCATGCCATGTTAAAATCTCCCAGTACAACTAAACCAACTCTATTTTCTTACTGTATTACTCTGGTATTTCAAATGAGACCCTAAGCTTTACATATTTGATACATAAAATTTATATTTAGGACAGTATTGTAATTTTCATTGAGACAAAATGATTCAATTGGTCATTTACTCTTCTGGTTTGATTTTCTGGGTTAATGTTTTCAAATGAAACCTCACACAATTTTCTTTAATCCTTCAGATAATGTATTTTTATATATGTGCTTGGGGGGCAGTATGTAACTAGATTTATAAAATTCTAATTGGATTTTAAATTTGGCTCAATCTGAATAGCTATTTTTAATGGAGATTTTTAAGCTTCTTGGCAGGTCTTATTTTACTTGTGACTCCCTTTAAGACTTAAAAACTGAGTTGAGCCCCTTCTTTTCTACATAGACCACCAACTGGGACAATGTTTTTGATCCTTTCTACATAAAGGAACAAATGTAACATCATCATTTTCCCTTCTCCTTTAACATTCTTTCCAGTAGGAGCTAACATAACCCAGAATTCCTGGCCAGCATTATGTAGTAGTAGTTTTATTTTATGTAACATCCTTTCCAGGAGTTATTTTTAAATTTTTATTCCCTGTGCATTAGCTAATCAGAATCATCTAGACCCACACTGTCCATGGCCAGAATCCCAATATCTCAGCTCCCCGAGGCTTCAAACTTTCTTAATTTTTATCTCAGTGCCTCTCCTGATAAACTCAGGGATACCCAAAGCTAGAAACAGATTTGTCTTCAAACTACTCACCAGAACTGTGGCCAGAACAAGCCTGCCCCCGAGTGATGGCGACAACTCCGCCCACCCTACTCACCAGGTCGTACTTCAATGGAGTTATTCCGGGGATAAATGATCTTAGGGATTTTTCCTCCTGGTCTCCCACTCTCCACTAAGAAATCAGAGCCACAAGAAATCACATTAGATATAAAGAAAACTAGGAACTCAGCTAGCAAAGAAGCTCATTTCAGCCATTATCTATTTGGTTTAAATGAAAACCAACAGCATGCTATAATAAAATGTCATTACCTAAGACTATAAATACATCTTTCAAGCTGCAGCTCTAAGCAAAGCTCCAGAGGAGTTCTCGGGGTGGGAAGAAGCTGAACTTGGTGCTACTCTTGAGTTCCTGCCTCAGCCCTGGAGTCTGTGTTGTCCCATCATTTCCTTCCTTGATCTTGCGCTCTTTCACTCCAGCACCTCCACTTTCAATGGCCTCCTTGTCCTGACCCCATGGGCCCCCGTTTCTTAGTCCTTCTCCCCTCCTTCTGTACCCCATTTAGCTACCAAAATCCGGCAACCACCTGCACACTCCTATATTCCTCAAATAATTGGGGTAGGATGTGGAAACATTACGAGAGAAACTAGGAAAACACCCAGAAACATGGGGTCTTCGTCATGGCCATATCTGGCCACTCCTCAAGCTACTTGAATTCAGTGCCCCCAAATAGAAGCTCTCACCCGCTGGCCACGGACCACCGCTCAGTAGATCACACACGGAAAATCCAGGGGTCGCCAAGTGCTCCCTTTGATCTCATCTTGCCCTTTCAAGCTGGCCCATCACCCAGCAGGACGTCACCCAGCTAGGATCCCCCTAGCGGATCAGCACTGTCACTGCCTCCCCACCCTCCTGGACCCAAGCTGCAGCAGGGCAGTGGTCGGGGTTTTTTCCTTATCTCCCTATCCTCTCTGTGCCTAGCGCAGGACCTGGCTTGTCAGCACTAGGTAAGGAGTGCCAGGGGATGAAGAAATCCTGTGTCCTGCAGGGCGCGGCCTCACAGCCTCTCCCAGGCATTCGAGCTGCCTTGGCACGGCCTCCTGCATCTGTGCCCACTTCACCTCTCCTGCTTCAAACTATCTCAAGGCTGACTTCCTCTGTCACAGGTGCAGCCACGTAACTGCATGCACCTGGGGCCATGGGGAGTACGTGGTGATGCCCACATGGAAGCAGCCCCGAATTCGCCACTGGTCAACTCCATGCCTCCCTCTCCCATCTCATACGTGCCACGCTGTAGTGAGCTCTGAGACCCACCCAACAGAAGCCACAGTGCTCTGCCCTGTGTCTTACTTTGTGTCCTCTGCCCAGGGACCACTTCTGCTTGCTTTGCATGACTATCAGCACTCTTCATCCTCCCTAATGCTGCTGAGACCTGTGTCCTCTCAGAAGCCTCCCAGATCGTTCACTGGCCCCTCTGGATTCCTTTCTGCTCCCCCAGATCCTAATGCATGGCACTAAACAGATCCGCGGATACCTCTAGTTTCAGTCCTCCCAGACTGGGAGCTCCCATACAGATGAAACAAATGTTTTCTTAAGTTTTTCACCATCATGACCTAAGCACAATGCATGCCTGATAACGCAACATTAACAACTGTTTGAACAGGCATAAAATGCGGACTGCTGGGCCCACAGGTTTCTTCATTGTGCCTTACAAATTCTACCCTTCCAAAAACTTCCCCAGCTGCACGTGGACAGCGAGTGCATTGCGGCAGTGAAACTTCGCAGATCTGTGGCCAGGCACAGGTGCCAGAGTTCATCACCAACCTTGAGCTCGAGAGGGAGTTTCCAGCCTCTTGGGAATTCGTGGACCAGGGCTACTGGACTCCTCCAGGTGGTCAGCACCAGGTACTAGCGAGGTACCCAGTACTGGGGAATTGGTGACAACTTCTGCCCCTCAAATGAGCAGGTACAGAAAAAACGCTCTACTGAAGAGCAAGCAAAAGCTGTGGGCGCAGGAAAGTCCCTGCCCAGGTGTCTGGAAGGGAAGTGCCCGCCAGAGCACAGAGGCCAGGCGTCCGGCCCTGTGTCCACACCATGAAGTGTTCTGAACTTCAGAGTTGCTCCCTCCTTCCCTCTGGAAAATGAAGGGGTCTGGCTACTTAGTTTCTTCTACCCATACGATTTGCCACTGAAATCTGCAGGATATGTGTTCAGAGAACTGGCCATCCTGGGTTTGGAACCAGAACCTCATGGGAAATGGGTCTCCCAGAACCATGTCAAACACCCTGGATCATTTAGAGCCAGAGCCAGAGGAGGTTGGTGCTGGGATGGCCACTGAACCCCCCACAGTGCAGGTTGGGGACAACAGGATCACAGTAATAATATCTGCACGCGCTGGACACAGGCCCCAACAACAGCCCCACACGCATGGCCTCACTTGCTGCACACGAGCAAGCCGTGAGTTTTGAGGGTTCTGCTGCTTAGGTGGGAGAGCTGAGCTGCCCTTGCCTCCTGCCCCTGTGTTCTTAACCCTGACCTAACAGCGACTGGCTTAAGATTTGGCTGATCTGGAGGGAAATCTTTTCTGCCCACAGCCTGAAACCAGCCAGCTCACACAGAGGGGCGGGAAGACCCGGTGACCGGTGTGGCCATACTTACAGATGTCCACACGGATGCTCTGCACGAGCACGTACCGCTTCCCAGGATTCCCCGGGTGCACCAGCCTGGCTGTGCATGTGTATTTGCCCCCATCCTCCGCAGACACATTGTGCACAAAAAGCTTTGTTTCCCAAGGAATAAACTTCTGTTGCTCGCTAGGAATCTCTTCACAGTCCTAAATTTCAATGAAACATTCTAGTCAGTGGGTATGTGGGAGTACGTGGCACAGCCTATGAACTCCGGGAGACGAGAAATCTTGTAGATAGATGATGGATAGATAGATAGATAGATAGATAGATAGATAGATAGATAGATAATGACAGATAAGAATTTCTTGTCCAGTCCATGTGTGTGTGCATGTGCATGTGTGATATCTATGTGATCTATATATTTGTGGAATCTATATTTTTAAAATATTTTTTATTTATTTATGTGTGTGTGTGGCCAGCTCAGCCCACCAGGGGGCGGGGCTGGCTGGCATGTGGTGCTGGGGATTGAACTGCGGTCGCTGTGCTTTGCTAAGCTTGTTCTAGGTAGGTGCTTTAGACCGCTGAGCCATCTCACCAGCCCCTGGAATCTATATTTGTTTCCATCTAGCTATATCTATCTACAGAACATCTAACAATACCTCTCAGAGCTCAGCAGCACGGAGTCTCGTCAGGAGGGCAAGAGTAGGCAGGAAGGTTCTCCCCCGGGTGGCCGATCTCTCCCCCACATTCCCATCAGCCCAGGTGAATACCAGCTGCTTCTCACATGCTGCAGACCCACTGACAGCTTCCTCACCTGTCAGGGCTTTGCTTTATGGAATCCAAAACAACTCTTCGCCAACATCCTAGGTAGAGACTTGAACAGCAACCAGGCTACAGAGTGCAAGTGCCATCTGTCATCTAACGTCATCTACTGTGTCAGCAAGGAATTTTGAAGAGAATAAATATCAACAGAACTTTTTGTTTACCTTGTACCACCTTATGGACTGCACACGGCAACTGTCTGGGAAGTGCATGTGACAGTTCAGGCTCTCTGAGTTCCCAAGGTGTAATATTTGGTCATAGTCATATAAAAAATTTAGTGATCTGTTTCTGGAGCCAACACACGGGTATATCTTTTTAACGGTGAGGTTGACGTGTATTATGTGGCAGCTCCTGCTGTGCCTGTGAGAAAAGCACAGTGTGAGACCTACACGATCAAAACTCCAGCCACCTGTTTCTCTTCACCTCTGTTCAAGTCACACCAGATGCATATTACAAACCACACGCCTCCCACAGAACAACACGGCCTACAGGCGTCTGTGAGCAGAGATGCCTGGGGCTCTGCAGGGGCCCAATGGCAGCCCCTTGGCCAGGAGGCCAAAAGCAACATGGCCAGCTAGATCCATGGACCCAAATACAGGACCTGGTCTGTACTGGGAAGGACTGTTACATGGGTCACCGAGGGAACCACTGAGCCAACTCAAATACAAACGACACAGGAAAGTCCTGCCAGGCTGAATTTCCTGAGTTTGATTACAGCCCTGTGAGCAGGTAAGAGAATATTCTCATTCACTGAATTTTTAAGCAATAAAATTGGTATGATGTATACAACTAAAATGATTTCAGGCAAAAAAAAAAAAAAATAGAGGCGCACACATAGGGAGAGAGAAAACTGTAAGGGAAATGGAAAATGTTTACTTTAAAATGAAAACCCAGGTAAAGGACAGATGGGAGCTTACTATATTATTTCTCAGATTTTCTCTGAAATTATTTTAAAGGGAAACATACACTTTACCGACTATTCTGCAGTAGCTGACAGATCTGGGAGAAGCTGTGTTCATTTCTTCCCTGGCAGACAGTCCCCTGGTCTAATGGATGTGAAGGGTGGGTGCTCCTCACCGCAGAGCTCCCAGACTGAAATAGCTTAAACCCGGCTCCGACACACAAACGCGCGCCCTGACCTACGCCCTCCAGCTGCAGGTAACGATGCACAGTGCACCAGTGATGGCGAACCTGCGGCACGCGCGCCACATCAGGCTGCTGGTTATCACGAAAGCTCTACAAGGTTCTCCGTCCCTGGCCTCGATGGTCTCTGGAGAGCGAGTGGAGCCTACAACGTGCGGCTGCTGAGCAGCACGGGGCTGGCTACCCCTCTCTCCTGCAGCTCAGTGAGTCGTGCTGCACAGCAAGTGTGCCGGATGGGCGCAAGCCAGGAACCTGGCAGGACACCAAGTGGGAAGTGGGCCACTCTGGGACACAGAGAGGGGCCTTCTGGCCAAAATACGAGAGACAGGATGGAGCAGCCCCTTCTCTGAGGAGCTCGGGTTCTGGTACCTCACTTCTAGGGGGCCAGGATAGCTTCCCATTTCCAGGTAAGAAAACCAAGGCTCACGGGGGTGAAATAATTTAAGGTCAAGCAAGTTAGTATGGCAGAGTCACCAACTGTGGCCCCGGGGCAAAGTTTAGCCCACAGATGTGTTTCATTCAGGTCTCTCAGAGTGTTACAGTGGAATAGTCATGCACACACACGCACGCACATGCACGCGTGCACATGCAGGAATTCAAGCAAACAGCTACTGTGGCAGGACACATGCTTTCCAGTGGCACAGTCCCCTCCTGGCTGGGCGGCCTCCCACCAACTTCTAATATCCAAAAACCAGAAGCAGGACCTTGTAGCACAAAGGTAGTACATCTGACTCCAAAAACTAGAAGTTACGCAAAAGGCCTGGCAGGCCCAGGCACCCATGGACACCACTTCCTAGCACAAGGGCTGGTGTGGGGTTCGAGCTTACCCCAGGCTTACTGCAAGCAGATTCCTGAAGCAAAGTCCCTAGGAAGCCACACTCCTCGCATGTGTCACCTGTCACCAGCGCTTGCCCTTGTAGAAAGGTGGCAGCAGGCATATTGGAAAGCTGGTCTATCCTGAAGCAGTATGTCCACGGGAAAAGATGCATTTTGCATCTCCAAAATGGTTTACATTACAGAAGCTACATTTGTTGTTATATAGGTCTTGCTTTATCTTGGTCTTAACCATCCAGCAGAAAAGTATAAAATCGAGGTATAAAAAATAAAGCCATATTAATATGCTGAGCTGTAAAGGGCTCAAGTCAACAACTTCCGACACTGCCAGTCTTGTGGATAACCCACTACTATTATGGACTGCTGGACTATATTGGATTACTCTGCTGAATTCAGGCAGCTACAATATATGAATGGTAATGGAATACACATCTCTGACAAAAGTAAAAAAAAATGGGATATAAATGAACTATTTTGTAGTGGAATATATCTGTATAAACAAAATAGCATAAATATACAGCTACTTTCTCTTAGTTCAATGAGAAGAAGATTTTGAACTAATGGTGTTTAGACAAGATATCATGTCTGCATCTTGTACTAGGAACAACTACTACAAAGACAACAATATGTAATGTATTAATTATTGTACTACTAACCTGTTTTGAAACTATCTCATTGCTACTTCCTTCTCAATAAAATTATTAAAATATAGAATAAATAAACAAAAAATGGTTTACAAATCTCTTTTTTTTCTGCCAAAAGAAACGATTCATTTATTGAATGAAATGTGATAAAGATTATTGTTTCTCAACCTTTATCTTTATCATCCCCTTCAACTCTTTCATACATTTTCCCTATTGCTTGTCAGCATCATATGGTAGGACTTTAGATATACTATATGCCTGTCTATGTGCTCTATGGACATCAGCACTAAAGACCAAGTTTCACAACCTTGGTATCTGGTACCAAGGGTATTATCACCTCCCTTCCTCTTAATAACCCACTAAATAACTGGACAACTGTGAAAGCTAACTTATCCTCTGAGAATCTCTAGTCCCATTTACAAAGCAAGAATAATTTACAATATATCTTCAAGATTGATGGAGGTAACATACTTCACAGGGCTCTAGCAAAAAGCTTGACAAATACTATACACTTGTTAACAAGGCTACTTTTCCTTCACCTCAAAAACCCTTCCAGTCTTACATTCCATAAAAATCACAATTCTTTTTTAACATTCCCAGTATAAACATATAAAAACTCAACTTCTCACAGTCCTACTATTAGTACCATCTCCAAATTACCCAGGTCTGCCAGCATTGGCAAGAGTTTTTAGTATTCCAGACAGAAAACCAAGAAGTTTTCTTTGCTTTGTCCCCTCTTTTGACAAATGACACTTAGTGTAAGACAGTAGAATAAACAGAGAGCAACACCCAAATCAGGAGAGAATTAAAAATACAGGTTGCCTCCCTGAGAATAAAAGTCATGTACTGTCTCAGGGTACAAATCTCTTTAAAGCCAACCTAAATCTCTTACCTATTCAAGGCATTTCAAACGTGCTCATTAGAAATTGTATCACAATCATAAAGTTATGCCATATCATCTCACTGTGTTTTCTAGGTTCCTTGCGAATGCTCTTAAAAGGCATGAGGGTACCCAGAGAGACAGGTTTCGTTCTATTTTAGACGAGGAACTTACGTGATAACACACTGGTACATCCCGGAGTCCCTGTCTGTCAGGGGAAGAATCAACATCCAGGTGTGCTCCTGGTGAATTCTCTTACTGATGTTCCTGGGCAGCGGGGTGCCGCTGGATGCTCTGTACCAGGTCACATGCACGTCCCCATATGTCAGAGGAAAGTAAGTGCAGTTCCAAGCAAAAGGTTGACCGACTCTAACGATCTTATTTTGTGATATAAGATCCTTACATGCACCTGGGCAAACAAAGATAAAACCAGCACGATGATCCAGGAAGGCAAACTGAAGGCTTGGGCAGTGGTTGTGTTAACAAACTCCTCTTCACCCCTAGCTGATTTATAATTTTACCCACGAGTCTCCCTAGGCGGGGAGTAAGCAGAATTCCGTGTCCCTGAAAGGGATCTGCAGCTCGGGGCTCCCCTCACGCCCCTCACGCCCCACCGCGGGGACTTCCTCTCTCCTCCTATCTCTTGGTTGTCAGGGGTGCACGGCCGGCCGCAGCACTCGCGCTTCCGGTCCTCACCACTCGCAGGACCACATAGCACACTGATTCTCCACCTCGCCTTCCCCTTGCTCCACCCCCGTCTCTTGGTCCTCTGCCCATTTGCAAGAGACCAGTCTCCTTGTTTCCTATTAATCTTTTATTTTGCTCTTTGACTTCTTTATCCTTTGGGTTTCCCATAGATGAGAAACCATTCAACATTCAAACTTGCGCATCTGACTTGTGTCCCTTAACTCTGGTCTCAAGGTGCGTCCATTCTCCTACACACCGCAAGCCCACCCTTCTTCATGCAGTGTAGAGCTCCGCGGTGTGCGGGCACCGCGCTTCCCGGGTCCATTCATCCGCTGACGGGTACACCGGCTGCCTCCAAGCCAGTTGCTAGGAACTGCGCCTCTCTAAACGGATCCGCCCGCAGCTGGAGCAAGTGGAATTTCTATTTTTAGTCTTTTGTCAATTTCCACCCTCCACCGGTCCTCTCCTCTCCCTTCCCTTCTCCCCGCCCCATCCCTCTCCTGGAAAAAGAGCGCTCCTGTTTTCTTTAGGCTCAGCCACCTGTTTTTCTGCCGTAATAGAAAGGCATCTCATTGCCACCTGGGTCACTTTAAAATTCTGCTCCGTTCTACCAGGTTGCTTAGGGTTTTTGGGTTTGTTTGGTTTTTGTTTTTTTTTTTTTTTTTTTTCAGAACTACGGTGTTGCAAGTTTTAAGTTTTTCGTCCGGACCCTGGATCCTTAAATAACCCCACGGCATAGAAAGCAGTACCTTACAATCTGCTTTCGCCTAACTTCTCCACCTCGAAGCCTGCGGTGACACTGGGGGCCCATTCGCCTGCCGCCGTCGGGAGGGAGAGGCACATCTGCCCCTGAACCTAGGCTGGGTGGGCCAGGCTCAAGCGGCGCGCGCACCTACCTGCTGTGGCGGTGACCGTGGCCCTGAGCGCCAGGGACAGCGCACAGAGGAGCGGGGCCGGCGTCCTCATCGCGACTGCGGGAGACAGCGGGCGACGACCCGGGTCCTCACGCAGGCCTGACCTCACCCTCCGCGAGGGCCCCCCACGCTGGGGGCGGCACTGGCAACTCGGGACCCGCACCGCCCGCCTCGCACGCTGGAGCCGGGTCTGCTCACCCGCAGAGGCCCGCCCAGACCCCTGGAAGAGCCGGCAGGAAGAGGGGGAGGAGCCCGGGCTCGCCAGCCTGGCCCCTCTTTATCTCTCCCCTGCGGTCACGCCTGCGTGCTCTCTCGGCACCCTCTTTCTCTCCAAAGCGATCACGTCTGGCCTCTCTCCCGAGGTCACACCTGCACCCCCTTTCTCTCCCCTTGTGAACACGCCTGTCCCTTCTCTCTCGTGGTTACACCTGGCCCGCCCCTGCAGCTTCTGTCGGGATAGCTTCTGGCCCCGCCCTCTCCCTCTTGGGTTACACCTGCCCCCCTTTTTGTCCCCCTTCTCTCTCCAATGTGATCACGTCTGTCCTCTCTCCCCTGAGATCACGCCTGAACCCCCCTTTCTCTCCCCGCACGAACACGCCTGTCCCTCCTCTTTCTTGTGGCTACACCTGCCGCCCCCACCCCCAACCCCAACCCCGCGATCGCACCTGGCCCCCTGGTCCCCTGATCCAAAGTGCAGGCTCCGCAGACCCGAGCTGAGGCGGGGACGGCTGGGCAGGGCAGTTCCAAGCTGGGTGTTTCCGCTCCGCTGTGGCGTGGGCGGGAGAGCGACCTGCCCGAGTGCGGCCGGGACCCAGCAGGGCACCCACGCGGGAAGAAGTGGGTTGAAGTCCTCTCGCCTGGTTCCTTGGCAGCTCGCAAGCCCTGCATCTCCAGGAATGTCTACCTCAGTCCCCTCCAGATTGTCCCTGTAAATGAATTATTCATTCCTTTCCAAATCCCTTGGCCCCGCTGACTTTCTGTCCAACACTAGCCACGGTGGGAAAGTCCCCAGAATGGAACCAACCTGAAGGGCTTCAGAGTGTGCTCATCGGGCTGTCCCATTCCTTACCTTCTGTGAGGCAGACACCCCCAGAGGCCCCCCAGGTGAGACTGCCTAGAACTTGTCCTAGGACCACAGTGGAGGAACCTGCTGGTGAGGCCACCAGGAGTGGGGAGATGCCAAGTGCCTGGTGGTCTTCCTGGGCTGGAGACAGTGACACCAAGCCACCACAGGGGCCAGGGGTGGTCTTAGCAGCAGGAGGCTTCCAGGATGGCTTGTGAATTTCTGCACTCTGGGTACAAGCACCTCCTTATGTGAGGTGCGCTTGTCCATATTCCTACTTTGGGGAATTTTTAACATTTGTTTTCTGATTTAAAAAATAACAATAACCCCTTTATATGTTCATATAAGTATCATACATTTTTTCCAAAGTGACTAACTTTCTCAAACAGACTCCATGAGAAGAGTGGTGGTGGCTGACACTTGGGCAAATCTCCTGAAGGTCTGGCTTAGTAGAAGTTTGAGCGGGTGCCCAGGCCTGCCACTGCAGCCAAGCTCTTTTGACATGACATGTCACATCATCTCTGGCAAAAGCCAGCACATTCCAGAGAGAGGAGAGGAAAAGGTCAAGTAAGGACTTAATGTGGTTCTGGAAAGTTTTGGTTGGTTTCCCACGCGACTTTGAAGCACCTCCTTTTTAAGCTGTAAATCAGCACTGAACGAGGATTCTTTATCCACAGATGTTCTTTGGGGTTTATGTCTCCAGCCCCAGTGAACACATTGCTATGAAGAACATGATTCCCATGCAGAATGATTGCTGTGAGCACCTTTGGAGGCTCTTCCCTCCTTCTGTTTGGTTTATTTTGTTTTTGTTTTGTGGGGTTTTTGTTGTTGTTGTTGTTGTTGTTGTTGTTGTCATCATTCTTATTTGAGATAGGGTTTCACTATGTAGTTCATGCTGGCCTTGAGCTCATTATGTAGCCAAGATTGGCCTCAAACTCATGGGAATCCTGCCTCAGCCTGCTGAGAGCTAGGACTCAGGCCTGCGCCATTCACAGGGCCTTGAAGGGTATTCTTAATCTTTCTGTTGTGCTCCACTTTTCACCTGAAGAATGCACGCTTTTGTGTCTTGTCTTCCTAGCTCAAGCACTGGGGTGCATGCCAGCTGAAGGTGGAACAGTTGCCCTGTGGGGGTGAGGTCAAGAGAGGCACCCCAGGCCCTCCCGGGCCCCACAGCACCAGCCCTCACATTGAACTCTGCGAGCCGCCCCGGGAGCCTGAAACTCCTCCAGGCCTCAATGCCAGTGCACTTTCTGGTGGGTCCGAAACAAATGCCCTGAGATTAAACACAGAACCAATTTGGGAATTTAAAGCTTTGAAATTAAAAACATGTTAAGTCAGACACAGGAAAGCAAGTCTTGCACGTTTCCTCGATGCTCCAACCCCTGCAAGAAAGAAATCTTACCCTGAGTGTGGAGGGGTAGGGGGCCAGAGGGCAGAACAAGGCTGGAGGGACCAGTGTGCAAGTGCCTATTTATTGGGACTGTTGCAGGCAGCTGAGTTAGATAGAACTATTGGAGGCAGTCTGACAGGGCCGGGCTGCAGAAGGAGCCAGTACTGAAGACAATGTGTGTGCACTTGTGAGAGAGACAGCCCCTCCCGGGAGGACAAGGGACAGACCTCAAGACAAAAGATCAATCAAACACCTCCCTCCCTCCCTAAGGAGGAACATCAGGGACTGATACTCTAGGTCTCTATCACCTTGAGGAAGCCAGGAAGAGTCCCTAACCCAACCCACCCCCTTAGAGGAAAAGCCCAGGTTCATTCAAGCCCGCTTGCTATGTGACTCGCTTCCCCGTTTGGGCCTGGGTTTAATCAATTTCACCTGAGCAGTTGTGCTTGTGCTCTTACTGGTTTACCGTAGTTCTGTCCCAGCTCATGTGCGAGTATGGTGGCTCATGGAACTGGAGCTTGGACCCGGGGCTGAACCCAGGTCTTATCAATCCATGAAGAGGGGAATGGCTCAGAGATGAGTGATTGAGGACAGCGGGTCATAGGTGAGTGCTGTGAGCTGGGCCAGGCAGGAGGCCTGCACTCATGTCTACACAGGCAGACAGGAGGATATGCAGACGGAGTGATCTGCGGTTCACAGGTTGGGGCAGTACCCACTGTTCTGGGGTTGGGGCTTTCCTCATGCCCTGAGATGTCAGCCAGCCCCAGGAGACAGCCTGGCCTACCTCATACACGCTACTGGGGAGCTACAGGAGGGGCATCACTCCCTGTCACCACTGCGCTAAAGATTATCCATCAACACCTCAGCCAGACCCATGTGCATTGCTTAAAGGCAATTAATGCAATAAAGACAAATCCTGGCCAAGTCCGTACGTATCAGAACATGGAAAAGAGCCAGGTTTAGTCCAAGTGGAGACAATCGCTCTTCGTTCATGGAGAGCTGCCCTGGTGTCTCCCACAGCCTGGAGTTCAAGGCTAGCTTGGGCTACATAATGAGTTCAAAGCTAGCCTGATCTACACAGCAAGAGCCTGTCTCCATAACGAAACAAAACAAAATGCTTTATTTTCCCCTTTAAGAATTTTCCTTTGAAATAAGCATCTTACCAGGCAATTTTAAGAGCTGCAAGATTCAGAGTGATCTACAGAGACACACAATGAAAAAAGACCCAGCACCAGCAGCAGAGCCCCTGGGCCGCGCGAGTGCGTGGCTCCCAGTCTGCAGCTCCTGACTGCCCATGACTGGGGGCTTCACGAGCTGGGAAGAAGGGGAGCGTGCACGTGTGTCCGTGGCCCGTGCATGCGTAATGTGAGGTGCTCTTCTCTAGTTCTTCAGTCTTCCAGTCAGAAGTACTCGCGTCGTATGTTCATACCATTTGCGTTTTACAGCATTACATTTTCGAGCTTCTGCGTTTGGAGAGTGTTGCTCTAGGTGACTCCACCTGCAGCTGCAGAGGAAGGATCCTGTCACGTGAATACACCACAAGTTACAGGGCCGTCTTCTTTGGACCTTCAGGTTGCCCTGGCTGTTTATCTTGTTCTCGTAAACAGTGCCATAATGTCCTCTTGCGTGGGTATTCAAGTGCAGTTACTGGATAAATGCACCTTCACCTGTTAGCAAATTCCTCATTTTTCTCCATAGTGGTATTCTTCAAGGAGAGGTGTTCTACTGCTTCATATTCTTGCCAATGGCAGTGTCAGAATTTTCAACATTGTACACCTCACCAGTCTGGTGGTGGAAAGCTATCTTGGGATGGTACCACTTCCTGCTTACAAAGCTGTAAGTTGGAACAGCTTTGTCTGTGGTCCCCAGCCACAATGCATGCTCCATGTAAAAATCCTTCTCCTTTTTACCCACTTGGTGTTTTGCCTTCCACTGCTCCATTTGTAGGGAGCTCATTAACGTCCACCTCTGAAGTCCCTTCCCAGGAGGCACAGAGCTGTGTCCCATCTTCCCGGTCCCCTGAGCCCAGCAGCACCCTTCTATGCTTGGCCACTGTCACAGCTTCTGGGCAGCCGGCCAAGCAAGGTGCTGGCTCCTCACCATCACCACCGTTCGTGTCACCCACTAACCCTCCTGGCCTCCCTCTTTGCAGCCGACAGACATTCTTTGCAAGGGGACTGTCTTAGTCCTTTAAGCCACTGCTCATTTGCCATGATACTTGACGCTGCCTGATGGTTTTGTTTCTTAGGATGTGAATCAACTTTCTCTAGAGATTGGTCCCTCCCTGGTAGCAGGCAAAACCCCACTCAGTGTGACAGACATCCAACAGCTCTGATGGGCTGAATCTGCTTTCAGTCTGTTTGATCCTCCACGCCAGATGTGCTGCCTATATGGAAGAATGATTTTATCAAATATTTCATATAAAATGTGCTTTGTACAGAGTGCATATTACCTTCGGTTTGTTCTAACTGAGCATCTGACAAGTTTCCATTAGCTGTAATCTCTAGGTAAAGTTTCCCGGGAACTTCGAGTAGAAGTTGAGTAGAACACGTTCACAGGCACGGATCAAATGTTCTAAACCCAGCATCGAGCCGGAGTGTGAGTATGGGGCTCTACCAAGACCTTCGTACCTTTAAAGGCCTCTAGTTCTCCCACCTCCTTTCGGGGTGTG